AGTTGCTCTCATTCAGACACTAACAGTTGCTCTCATTCAGACACTACCAGACACACAATTGCTCTCATTCAGACACTAGATAAGTAGACACACTGTTGCTCTCATCCAGACACTAGTTAACCAGACACACTGTTGCTTCCATTCAGACACTAGATAACAAGACACAGTTGCTTCCATTCAAACACTAGATAACTAGACACACTATTGCTTCCATTCAAGTACTAGCTAACCAGACTCATGATTGCTTGCTCTCATTCACACTCACCCACGGAATGTCAGAGACTTGACGTTTCAAGGAGCCTGGTGATTCACAATTCTAAACCCTTATTTGGTGTAAAAGAGATGTGTTTTTCTCTGGAACTCTTTCTCCGTTTAGGTGTTCTGTCATGCACAGTCATTAATTTATATCTTCCTTAGAACAAAATAATATTGAAAAAGCAATTCCTTTTTTTTTGCCTGTCTTGGATCCCAAGCCTTTCTCATCCTGGACCTGCCATTTCTTTTCCCCATCTGAAGAAAAATGGCCATTATCATATAAATCTGTTTGAAGAGAGCTAATAAAAATGAAAATGACTTAGATGTGGAAAGCCAAAGTGGATTCTTTAAAATAGACACTACGTGGTCACAGAAATATGAATTTGACCCTTTCACTCTTTTGTTTACTCTCCACCCTTTTCTTCAGAGTTTCTGAATACTTTGTGTGTACTTGGTCATTTATATTTCTTGATGATTTAAATACATCTCTTGATGATTTACATATAGGTTATTTCTATTGTTTAACATGCCTTGGTGTGAATAAGAAGAAATGACTTCAAGCCTTTGTTTTGCAAACTTCTCATGCTCCTAGCAGTAGAGATACTGGGGCTAGTTGCATTGTGAATGTTGAAGGTAGAGTTTCCCAAGGGCGTTTACAGGGAAAGCAGATATAACTAGATAGTTCCAGAATTGTATGACTATAAGTTGAGGTAAATTCTCTGAAAGAAATAATCCAGATAGAGCCACCAGGAGAGAATCCCCCACAATCAAGGGTTGCTGAGGTAGGACCAAGAGGATGAAGAAAGTCAAGAGGTAAACAGGCGTATGTATGCACATGCAAGCATGTGTGCACATTCATGCATGTGTGTGTATGTATGTATTCACGTATGTCTGTGTGTCTGAGTGTCTGTGTATGTGTATATGTGTGTGAGTGATGGAGGGTAAGTAAGATAACACAGACTACAGAAAGGAACGATCCCCTGTCAAATGGGCCTATGGTCCTTTTGTGGAAGGGAAAAGGGACTGGAAATAAAACAGAGGCCAGCAGGGATGAAACTGTGCAAGTTCTGAGTCTCCACAAATAAGGTCTTAAATCCAAAGACAATGGAGGACACCAGGACTTTGAAGCCAATCTCCTTTGAGGCATCTCCTACAAGTTCAGGGGTAAAGACTCAGACAGCTTGTGTGGCTTCTCCAGACATGTGGGGGTCATATAACTGCATGAGTGACTTGCCTGGGACTCACACCTAGGCCAAGAGGTGCTACACTGCATTTGTAAGCATCTAGTAAACTTGTGCTGTCTTCTCTGTCCCTCTTCCTCCTCTCCTCCATCCCTCTACTCTGAAAATAAAAAATCTACCTTTGGAGGTCTTTGGAGTTGGACACAGTGACACATGTCTATAATCCCAGCACCCATGGGCCAAGGCAGCAAGATCCCGAGTTTGAGGTCAGTCTGGGCTACAGAGTGAGACAGCAATAAAATAGAACAACACAACAAAATAGAACAATACAGAACCGATGTAGTATGGGATTAAAATGGTAAAGTTTCTACAGTGTGTTGTCTATTGTTACCTTTTGTGACTGACCACCTCATCCTAGAAGCCCAACTTGATTGTTCTCATTTTCAAAATGATGGAGCTGAAGTTCATGGTGAGACTTTGTGCTCTGTGGTTGGGTGAGAAGCAGGGTAGGGAACCCTTCCTCCTGACTCATGGGTTTAGTTAGGTGCACCTATCCATGCTCCACCCATGGTGAACAGTACCGGGGCGGGGGGGGGGTCACAAAGTTGGAACACAGAGACCAGGCAGCACCCTGACGACAATCTGGACACATGTGAGGGGACAGGTATACTAGGTTTTAGACCAGTGAGTAGAGAATGAATATTGAGTACATTCTGGACATGGGGCTCAGGGAAACCTCTCAGACTGGAGGCCAGGGGACACGGGCTGCATTCTCCATGGGGACAGCCCTTTGGAGAGGCAGTGACAGGGGGATGCCCTGATCCAGTAATTGTGGGTGTCAGGAGGAAGGTAAGTTAAGATGGAGGACCATGGAGAAGCCTGCATCGCTGGCCTCTGGTAGGCAAAGCTTTCCCTGTTACCAGGCAAATCGCTAAGGTATCTACTGAAGCCATGACTTATCTGACTCTTGATGGCTGGCTTTGACATTTGGGCTTTTCTTGTTCCCCAATTCACATTCCCAACGTTCCTTATATGTTACTCCTTTGCTTTCTTTCCCAAGGAAGGTACCCAGAAAGCTGCCCAGGGTAGGTATGCAGGCAGATAAGAATAGTATCTTATCAAAATGATTTTTCCACTTATGGCTCGAGGAGGAAAAGATAATTCACAAAGTCTTAACTCATTCAAGGAATTATACCCAATCCTCTTGGTATTGCCTTGAATATGCTAAGCAAGCTCTTGGCTTTTAAAAATGGGAACCTGAAATGCCTTGGTTTAAAAAAAATGTTAAGTAAATAAAAAAATAAATAAAAGTAAGTGTGATTTATCACTTCAATCTTGCAGCCTACAAAATGCAGGCATTTCACTCCTGGGAATGAATAGCTCTGCTTGCCTGCAAGCAGATTGTAAATGTTGGAGTCGTGACCAGACATCTTGGCTTTTAATGGCCTGCAACCAACAAAAAATAAACACACAGACTTACAACAGCCAGCACAAAGCCAGCCATCCTTCAATGTCCCTGGTAACATTCAGTATTGCTCTGCAATTGCTGTTAACATTTCAGGGAATTCAGAATACGAGTCTAACAAAGCAGTGGGGCCAGCACCATAGGGAGCCTTTTCATCTTAAATTTATTTTTGGTGTGTGTCTGTAGGGACACATGTATGTGCATGGGTATGTTGTGGAGGCCAGAGATTGTCCTGAGGAACTATCCACCTTGAATCTTGAGGTAGTATCTCTCACTGGCCTGGAACTTTCTGAGTAGACTAAGCTGGCTATGGAGTCCCAAGGTCTATCCATTTCTGTCTCCTAAGCTCTGGGGTTACAAGCTTGTGCCACCACGTCTCCTTGTCCTCTTCTTCCTCTAAGCAGGTTCTGGGGAATTGAACTCAGGTCCCTATGCTTGCAAGCAAACACTTTACCAATTGAGCCATCTCTAGTACTCCACTATAAATTCTACACACCCAAATGGCAATCTCAAGGAACTCAGTACATTGCACTCTTGCCATTCTCATAGTCAACTGTGAACCGTTGCCTGAAGGTCCCATAGCACAACGCCAGCGAGGCAATGACTCAAGTATTTGGACTGTCCCTGAAGAAACAGAGACCACCTGAAGAATGCCACACCCTCTCCCAGCATTCTAGGACAAATCAGGCAATGCTTACATGCCTGACAGTGAGTTCATCCTGGCAAGTTTACCAAGTGGAGGAGAAAACTCAGAACCACTGTGGCAGTGGTGTAGGGTGGAGAATAAAGTCAAAATCAGCACAAAGAAACCAGACTGGAGCACCTCTGTGCCAAGGCTGACATGAGCATACACAAAGAAATTGAAAAAGCGAAGCATGCCATACATGAAGGACCCGGCAAAGGTGCCAGTCTGCCAGGCACGGGTTCCATGGAACCTCCTCCCCAAGCTTTGGTTCAATACTTCCTTGAAGGTAGTGGTTTTTGTTTCCTTTTTCTGCAACATATTCTCTCTGCCACTATGTGTCCCTGTCCAACTTATTGTTTGGTGACACAAACACCTAGGAACCCCAGAGGATGCCCTTCAGGCTCCAGTCCTCGCCCATGACAGTATCCACATGTCATTATATGAAGCAAAATGAGAGGCCAGATGCAAACCCTGACACAGCTCTAAGAAGGTCCTAGTGTCACTCAGAGGCACACTCAAACCAAGCTGACCTTAGGCAGGAGGCAGGAGGCAGGAGATTGACCCTGAATGTTGTAGCTCAACTCTTCCATCAATACTAACTTGGGGATTAAAATAAACCCTTTGATTATCTATTAGATCCCATTGCATGTCAACCACATTCGATACTTAACCTGCATGGAAACACTCATGTCCCATGGGCCGTGGATCAAAGAAGTGCTTTGCAAAGTGTGGTCCCCAGGCCAGCACACCTTCTGGCTTCCCCACAGACCAGCTGAATAACACAGTTGGGACAGAACCTAGTAAGTAGCTCACATGTTAGCCCCATGGATGGGGGAGGATGCATAAAGATATCTACAAGTCACTGTTTTAGTGATTCCCATGGGATTGTTGGTGGTGGTGTTAGTAGTAGTAGTAGTATAATGTAATGGTGTAACCTTATTTATTTATTTTTTTTGTGTGTGTATGTGTGTGTGGTGAATGTGGGTGCTTGTATATGTGTGTATGTGTGTGTGTATGTATGTATACATATGTGTGTGTGCATGACTGTGTGTATGTGTGTGCATATGAGTATGTATGTGTGCATATGTGAGTGTATGTACCTGAGCATGTGTGCACATGCACATACATGTATGTAGTGTATATATGTCTGCATGTATGTGTGTATATGTGTGTATGCATGATTGTGAATGTGTGTGACACAGTGCACATGTGGAGGTCAGAAGACTAGCCTTGGGAGTTAGTCCTCTCCTTTTATCACAGATCTGGGCTTGAACTCAGATCAGAAAGCTTACTTTTACTTTCTGAGCCACCTCACTGTCCATGCCTTTTTTCTTTTTTACATAGAAAAATAATAACCACTTTAACATTGTCTTTCATTAATTTAATTTTAACTTTATATATATATATTTTTTACCTCATTTCCAAGTCTTCATTCTCTTGGGGTACAAATCTGTACAAGGCAACGTAGGTGTTCATCTGTAATGGGTCTTTAGAAAGAGGCCCCTGCCAGAGAAGATACAAAAGATAGAGCGGAATTGAGAGAGGAAGAAAATGGACATGAAGAAATAGCTGCCGTGAGTGTCGGTGTACAGCTCTCAGGAGTCAAAACTGATGGCCGTTACTAAGGCTTCTTGCACAACCTTAGCTTTCTATTTATTTACTGATTGATTGGTTGAGACAGGGTCTCTCCACATAGCCCTGGTTGTCTTGGAACTCATTATGTAGACCAGGCTGGCATTGAACTCACAAAGATCTGCCTGCCTCTGCCTTCTGAGTGCTGGGATTAAAGGCATGTACCACCACACCCAGCTCCTTAGCTTACTTTGAATTTTGGAGTTATACTCCTCTATAAGCTATTGAAATGCTTGAAATGTGTCAGAAAGGTGATTTTTTTTTTGCAATAGTTCTTAATGAAAAATGTCAGAAATGGGAATATTTTCTTCCTATTTTTTCCATTTTAAGTGTGTGTGTGTGTGTGCGTGCGTGCGTGCGTGCGTGCGTGCGTGCGTGCGTGCGTGCGTGCGTGCGTGCGTGCGTGCGTGCGTGCGTGCGTGCGTGCGTGCGTGCGTGTGTGTGTGTGTGTGTGTGTGTGTGTGTGTGTGTGTGTGTGTGCGTGTGCGTGCAGGCTTATGTTAGGACTCATCCTAATCTCTCTTCTACCGTATTCATTGAGGCAGGATCTCTCAATAAAACCAGGGCTTGCAGATATAGCTAGTTTCTCTTGTCAGCTTTCTCTGCAGATTCCCTGTTTTTATCTTCTGAGGCTGGAATTACAAGTGAGCCTCCACGCCCACCTGGCTTTTATGTGGGCAGTAGGGATCTGAGCCCTGGTCTTTAGGACTGTGTGGTAAGAACTTTAACTACCAGAGCCACCTCCTCTGCCCCAAGTGAGAACATTTTCTCTGAAAAAAAGAAAGACATATGAACAGGCATAAAATAGATTTGCTTCCCTAAATAGACATTTATAAAAGGATTTATTCGTTATAGATGGTTGTGAGGGACCTCATATGTTTGCCAGGAGCTGAACCTGGGTCTTCTGAAAGTGTGATGTGAGGGCAATTTTTATGTCAACTTGACACAAGGTAGAGTCATTGGAGAAGAAGGAGCCTCGGTTGAGAAAATGTCTCTTTAAGATCTGGCTGCAGCACATTTTCTTAATTAGTGATGGGTGTGGGAGAGCTCCGCCCACTGTGGGTGGTGCTGTCCCTGGGCAAGTGGTCCTGGGTTCAGACTGAGCGAGCCATGAGGAGCAAGCCAGTAAGCAGCACCCCTCTATGGCCTCTGCATCAGCTCCTGCCTGCAGGTTCCGGTCCCTCTGAGTTCCTATCCCGACTTTCTTCCATGATGAACAGTGATGTGGAAGTAAGGTCAGCCATATAAACCCTTTCGTCTCCAAGTTGCTTTGGTTATGGTGGTGTATCACAGCAACAGTAACCCTAACTTAAACAGAAATTGGTACCAGGTTAGTGAGGTATGGCTGTGACAGACCTGACCACGTATTTTTGGGAGGATTGTGGAAGGAATTTCAAACTTTGGTTTGGAAAAGCCATTGAGTGTTCAAAGCTTGGCAAGCTGTTCTGTGGGGGATTGGAAGACAAGAATGCTGAGAGCAGTGCAGATGATGGAGGCCTGGCTTGTTTCAGAGGGAAGTTTGAGGGAGTCCTTTAATGACTCTATGAGGGCCATTTGCTATTATGAGTTAATCTGTGTTTCTTGTTAGCCGGGCCTGAAGAATCAGCTGGGATGAGCAAGATACCAGGACCACTGCCCGAAAACCTTGGTGGTTAGCTGGAGCTGAGGAATCTGTGGTGGTTAAGAAGACCCGCATCAATGAGGCAAAGTCTTCTGGGAAGTGTTTCCTCAGAGTCAGAACATACCAGCTGCATTCCAGAGGCTGCCAAGATTGCACCCCATGCTGGTGTTTGCACTTGGTAGTGTAAGAATCACTCAGGTGGTGTTGGCTTTGAAGGCGTGAAGGGCTCATGGAGAGCAGCTGAGGCTTGGCGCTATGGCAGGGTTGGAGTCCCTGAAGAGGGACCAGTAGAGGCTACTGGTGAAAGTGCAGCCCAGCTGTCCAAGAGACCCCAGCAGTTTGGAGATGCCATTAACATGAGATGGCTGAGAGAAGCAGGTGTGCAGTGGAGCTGGCCTGAGCCCAGGAGACAAGGTATGTGTGCTGAGGAGGGAAGAGCCAGAGAAGTGACCCAAGCACTTTGGAGGAGTCTGGAAGATGGTGAGTGAATCCCAGATATTGGACACTGGATTATTTACACTGTTGGGGTTTGGTTTTGCTTCATTCAGATTGTGACTGTATTCTGGTTCTTCCCTCCTGAAGTAAAAAAAGTATTTAGCTTAATTTTGACTTTTACAGGATCCCACAGAGGAGATTTTGAACTTTTAAAAGAGATTTTAGATTTTTAAAGAGACTGAATTTTTTTTTTGTTTTATAGATTCTTTGTGAATATCAGAGACTGAATATTTTAAAGGGGGTGAACTTGTATTGTGTTTGAACTTGTAGATTGTGGGACTTTTAAAGTTATTTATGTTTTTAGTGTGAGATCTTGGGGGTGAATTAGAAAGGGAAGGTTGTGACTTAATGGTGATGTGTTTGTGTCAAGTTGACAAGGAGTCATTTGTGCTGGCTAGTTTTATGTCATCTTGACACGCTAGAGTCATTGGAGAAAAGGAACCTCAATTCAGAAGATGCGTAGGATCAGGCTGTGGGCAAGCCTGTAGGATATTAGTGATTAATGGGGGGGGGAGGGCCTGGCCTATTATGGATGGGGCTACCCTTGGACAAGTGGTTCTGGGTTCTATAAGACAGCAGGCTAAGCAAACCATGGAATTTTATCACAGAAATAGCAATCCTAACTAGGACAGGCAAGAGATGCTCCCAATCACTGAGCCATTTTTCGGAGTCCCTAACACTGACTTCTTATTGGTTGGCTGAAAGTTGGTATATGATACATCAAAGAGACCATGGACATTTGTATGACAATCAGTTCATTTGTGGTGAGGAAAAAAAGCATAGATTTTTGGCAGTGGACTGGAAGCTATGTCACAGTACCACAATCTACTGGCTTTCAAATACTGCAAATATTATAATAAAAGTTGCCAAAATTTTGATAGCCTACAGGCTGTCTGATATTTTATTATTTGTACTAACATAACTGAACTTCATCACAACCCTGTTAGATAGTTTTACTCTAGTCCTCAATTTATTATACTATAAAGGAGTCCTGTAGTGTCATATAAATATAAGCTGTTACCACTGACCAAAAAATTGCAATGCTATAGAAACATCTATATTTTATAACCTACAAGCTAAAATGATATATTACATATATACAATTACATAATGCTTGAGTACATTATATAATAGAATAAATATATTCTATTTATGAATTTAAAACATAAGACTTGTACAAAACTATATTGTAGCCTTTTGAACCCTGCAATTATTTTTTCACACTAATTTATTGGTGTGTGTAGCATGTATATTCCAAAGTATACATGTGGAGGTCAGAGGGCAATTGTGGGTTTCAGAGACTGAACTCAGGTCAGCCGGCTTGGCAGCAAGCACCTTCACCCACCAAACCACTGCACAGGCCTTTCATTCCGCTTTAATTTAAGGCTTGTATATGGGCACAATATTGCTTGAATCTATTGTAATTATATGTGTATATAAATGGTCATATCTAATATAACAATACATGCATGCATAGCATACAGTGTAGTCATAATATGATTTTGTGATTAACACATTGTAGAGTATGTCTTAACTTATAGTAACATGTGGCAGAAAATTGTTCATGTCATTAATACTGTGTTTATCCTTTTCACCTTTTATATGCTGTGCTTTTCTATTCATGGTATTTATTATATGGTGTCACATCTCATCATACGATGTCACATTTTATTATATGATGCCACGTCATGCCTCACTGGCACTTATTGTCAAACATGTTACATTTTTTCCCCAAATAATTTTAAAAAAGAATTTGACATGAAACTATGCCTCCCCTCATGGATTTTGTGACCCACTTGGGTGATGATTGGCAGTTTGATCCAGGAACTCTCACCTGGTCTGCGGTCTGTGATGTCTACATACCTGGTGGTTTATGGTCTTTACTTGGTCTCTGAAGTCATCGGTGCCATTCTCTGGATATGTAAACACTGAGGGAGGAAAGAGAACACAGGCATGTTGTGTGGCTGGTAGCCATGTTTGGGGACATGCACGATGGGGACAGTTTTGATTATTTCCTGAACTGGAGCTTATCACTGGCTGCTTCCCGCCCAGCCCCTTCTTTACCTTTCTACCTCATTCTTCTTTCAGAGATGTTTTCCCTGCCTCCTCATGCAGCATCCTTCCAACCCCAGTTGTCACCCCACCATCTGTGTGTACTCAGTGATGCATCCCCACCATCACTGGCCAGGTGTGTGTCTGAAACTCTCGATTGGGAGTGCCCTTTCAGAGGCAGAGGCATGATCACCGTGTGGAATCACTTGAGAAGACAATTTGGTTCTTTCAAGTAACCTTTCTGAAACACCAGGATTTTTACATTCAATATCGTGATGCTCTTAATGCTATCTTAAAGCATTAGCTTTAAACTTCAGAACATTCCCCTGATTGATTACTTCCAGTGTACTGAGGCCACTGGCTGGATCTTCTCTGAGCTTAGTTTTGGACTGTGTAATCCTCTTCCATGTGTTCTAGGGCATCAGCGTGAAGGCATTGCCTTTGATAATGAAACCCTTCAAGATGGGCAGTTCTCATTTTCCAGATACACACTAGCCCAGAGTTCTCACTGTCCAGATGCACACTAGCCCAGAGTTCTCACTGTCCAGATACACACTAGCCCAGAGTTCTCATTGTCCAGATGTACATTTTTCCGGGATTCTTGCTGTCCAGATGCACACTTGCCCAGAATTCTTTACAGAAACCTAGTGAGCTTTACTTGTCAGATCTGGTCCAGTGACCACGGACAGCTTGCCATTCTTACTGGATAGATCTTCCCTCGAGTAAATTGAGACACAGGGTTTCCATACTTATGCAGTAGGTTTGTTTTGTAAATTATTCTACCATGTGGATGGCTTGACTTTTTAGAATAACATAATTATTCTTCATTCTTTTCCTTCACAATAGCAAGACATCAGCATAGGATGGTACATACCTAGGAATCCATATAGTTTGGTTCATTGGTACCCTGATTCTCTCTACTGTCCATTCATTTAGTTTTTTTAATCACACTGTGTGTGTGTGTGTGTGTGTGTGTGTGTGTGTGTGTGTGTATGTGTATGTGTGTGTGTGTGGCACACCATAGTGTGCCTTTGGAGATCAGATGACAATGAGTGAGAATCAGTTCTCTCCTTCTACCATGTAGGGCCTGGGATTGAACTTAGGTCGTCAGACTTGGAGGCAAGCCCCTTTATCCAGTGAGTATATCTCACCAGCATCTCTACTGCTAATGACAGACTGAGAAATTCTATGTTAAAAGAATTCATCCAAAACAAGAGCTCCTGCAGAAGTCCTAAGGAGTCTTAACTATCTAGGGCATTCAGTTTATAATTCCAGAGTTTACAGATACAGTTTCATTGGCACAAGGATGTCCAAGGTGCCCACGTGCTACCAATGGAGCATCACTGAGTTATATAGTAAGCTATCCCTTTCCACAGAGTGTGCCTGAAGCATTTAGTCACTTAACTTGGTGTTTACCTGGTGAAACAGGGCAGAGACCAGCAACACCCTTTTCTGGTATTACATTGCCTCCTCAAATCCTGGTGTAAACACTTGGTCCTGTAAGTATAAAACTGTATTCTTCCCAAAAGACTAGTAAATAATTGAATGGGAACAAACAAAGAGGGTCTAAAGAAAGGAATCGTATCAGGGAAGTCTACAGTGTCCAGTTTGGAATGAGTGTACACTTTTTAAATTTTGTATTATTTTAGCCTCTTATTGAAAATCCATCAGGTCTTCTAGTTCAAATGTGTATTATTCCTATAAACCATTGAGAAAATTATTTGAAGTGACCTTAAGTTTTTCAGATCTTCAATCAAAAGCAGAGTATAACCAGGGGCAGTGGGAGTCTTTGTGTGTGTGTGTGTGTGTGTGTGTGTGTGTGTGTGTGTGTGTGTGTATGTGTGTGCTGCTTGTAGAGGCCAGAAAAAAGTGTCAGATCCCCTGGATCTGAGTTATAGGTGTTTGTGAGCCAATATGCATGGGTGTTGGTGAGCAAATTTGTGTGGGTGCTAGAAACTGAACTCAGGTCCTCTGCAAGAACAGTGTGCCCCCTCTCCAAACTGTTTCTAAAGCTGATTTGCAGAATGGAGGAGAAAAGTAAGGCAGCTGTCTGTACACTGCACAACTGTGTATATTGAACAGTGTGTAGACTGCACAACTGTGTAGTATATTGAACAGTGTGTAGACTGCACAACTGTGTATATTGAACAGTGTGTAGACTGCACAACTGTGTATATTGAACAGTGTGTAGACTGCACAACTGTGTATATTGCACAACTGGTATATTGTAACAACTGTTATTTTTGCTGCTTTAAAGTGTTTTTTCTTTGTGGACAAAAGGACTTTTTGTTTTTCCATTTTGTGGATCTGTGTCGCCCATGCCCTTTTTCTTTTGAATGGCACTATGTCAGGTTACATTAGTAAATTATCTGATACACGGGCTTGAATTTAAATGCTTGGTCTAATTCCAATGTAGTTACCCTGCAGTATCCTTTAAAAGTCCATCACTGGGTTCAGCTCACCAGACTTTTACTACAGACTTTTGCATCCACACTCAAGAGAGAGCGGCTAGCAATTTTCCCTTCTCCGGCCTTGTTTGGTTTTGAAGTCAGTGTTGTAATAACCTCGTAAACCAAGTTAGAGAATGCGCCTGCCCTTCCTCCTTGCCGTACTTTCGGTTCTCGGGAAGAGTTTATGTAATGTGGAAATTTTCTGTCCCTCGATTGTTTGGTAGAATTTACCTATGAAGTTGTCCAGGCTTGGTGGTTTTGTCGTGCAAATATTGATTTGGTTTCTAAAAGGATTAGAAAAACTCACAATTTCTAATTCCATCCTCTGCAGTTGGGCCGCAGTCACTCTGGTGATTTTGGTATCAGCTCATTTAGAAAAGGTTTTCAAGCTGTTGCAGGAGAATTTGGTCATGACTGTCTCGTCTTTTTGGTGTGTTATATTCCCCTTTTGGTTATGACATCTTGATTCCCTACTCTCTTCCATCTTAAAAATTGTTAGAGCTTATAAATTTTATTCTCTGTAATATCCACTCAGGATTTAGTGCCTGTCTTCAAAAGTTAATGTATCTTTATGATTACCATCTTCATGCTGTCTTTGGATGGGAGTGTCATATTTTGTTTTCTGACTTTTTATTAACATATGCGTACATGTTCATGTGTGCACTCGTGGGTGTTTGCGTGTGTGCATGCATGGATGCTTGTGTTTGTGTGTGTGTGCATGCGTGTGTGTGTGTGTGTGTGTGTGTGTGTGTGTGTGTGTGTGTGTGTGTCTAAGGAATCTGGAGGATGACTTCAGGTAGAGTTCCTAGTGCTTTCTCTTTGATTTGTTGGCTCCTCCTTCCCACTCAATTCATTCCATTTTTGTTGCTTTTTGCAGTTTGGAAAATTTGTTTTATCTTAATATCCTTTATCTTGTCTTAGATCTTTAATGAAGTACATTTTAATAAGATCTAAAGTGAAATATTTTCAAGCTTCCCTCAAACAGTGTGAGGATGACTGAATGCCCATTGTCTGTTTTCCAGATGGACACTTTAGATATTTTATCAACAATGTTTAGAAGCACTATTGCTTTTTTTTTTTTTTTGTAAGGTATCCAATGTATGTTTGCCTAGATTTAACCATACATTTGACACTTTCTTCTTTTCCTCTTTATTGATTTCTTATTACATGTGTATATGATGTGTGAAGGTGGCATGCGTGGGCAGGTCAGAGGACATGTTTTAGGGACCAGTGTTCTTTATCCACAGTGGGATCTGGGGATCGAGCTGAGGTTGGCAGGCTTGTTTGGCAAGTGCTTCTACTCACAGATCCCCCTCCCTGGCCCCATCACTCTCTTGACTTTCCATGTCTTCTTGTCTCACGGTGTTTGCTGTGTGTAGTTTGAAAGAAAATGACTCCCAAAGGGAGTGGCACTATTAGGAGGTGTGGCCTTGGTGGAGTAGGTGTGATCTTGTTGGAGGAAGTGTGTCACTGTGGGGGCGGGCTTTGAGGTCTCTTTCTCAAGCTTGATTCAGTGCAACAGTCAATCAACCTCCTGTTGCCTCCGAGTCAAGAAGTAAGTACTCTCAGTGCCAGCACCACATGCACCTCCATGCCACCGCCATGTTCCCTGCCGTGATGATAATGGACTGAACCTCTGAAACTGTAAGCTAGTCACCCCAATTAAATGTTTTTCTTTATAAGAGTTGCCATGCTCATGATGTCTCTTCACAGCAATAAAATCCTAAACAAAGGCACTGTGGTTGCTTTATTTATGATTCCAGGTAAAGAAGCTAACATTCATCACTGTTAGCTTCAGCTGTAATCTGTAAGAAGCTCTTGTGTGATTTTCATTCCTCCGTTATTGTTTGCCTTTCAGCCTCAGCCGTACTTAGCTGTCTTTGCAGTCCTGTTGTGTCACAGAGAGGTCTCTGAGGAATGTTGTCTTCAATCAGTTCTGTAAGTTCTCAGCCAGAATGTTGTTGAATGTTCTCGTACTCCCATCTCTGTGTATGTAAGTTGGATGCACACTGGAATTGTGCACTCTCTTTCCACAACCCATTTACTCTCAGATGCCAGTCTTTGTTGCCCTGGGTATTTGCTTTGTTTATTGGCTCTGTATTTCTAGATGCTGTTTCTCTCTTCAGCTGTAGCAAATGCCCTATCCAGCTTGTCAAACACACTTCTACTTTACAATATTCAGGAAGCTCTCTTTTGGAGTTCTCTTCAGATTTTCATACTTGATAGTCTCTTGTTCTTTTGTTAGATTTTCTGGTTTATATTAAGCATTTTAACATAAATTACTTATGTAATTGTTTGATAATTCTGACATATATGCCTCCCAGGTTCTGACCTTAAATTAACTGACCCTGCTACCTCTACCTGATAGCAGCACATTGTGGCTATGTGGTGCAATGGTTAGCACAGAGGACGTCCAGTGGGATAGT